GATAAAAGTTAGGAGGATTTTCCCCCCAAATATGCACAGAAAACAACAGTTTTCACATAAACTTGGAATTTCTTATAGTATTTAAAAAGCTCAAGTTTAAGATAAAATTGGAAACTATAGAAAATAATGTGCTATCCCCCCAAATACTAGTTATTAGCCTTAAATAAACAGATTCCATTTTAATCTCTTCTGCCTTCTAAAAAAAAATGTATAAATGTGAGCTTCATCCTTTTGCCGAAAATGATCTCTCAACACGTACAGCACAAACGATCTGTACTGCATCTCTACCTGAGCAGCTGAATCACATTCCTGTGTACCCAATCTCGCTCATTCTTCAAGCACTTGGGAGGGCCTCAATAAAATATGAAATGAACAAATGGAGGCTCAAAAATAATCTCTTCATCTTCACAAGCTGTCTTTTCTATTTAAGTCCTTCATGATTTTTAAAGTTAGTAAAATCAATGAGAAGCCATAATTTAAAAATCTCCAACTGTTAGAAATTCTAAATGTTTATATGATGAAAAATCTGTCAATCCTCTGTAAGGTATGTATACCTAAGGGATGTACCGAATTTTAAAATAAGGAATGTACTGAATTTTAAAATAAATGATCCACATATTTTGAGACAACTATTTTATCCCATGTTAACATACATTTTTCATCATTAAATAATACCAAAAAATTGCAAAGTTATTAATGTTAAATCAACAAGAGAATAAAAAGGTTGCTTTTCAATGATTTTAGAACAGATATAATGAAACTGCAAGGGTTTAAATCTCTTAAAAATTATTTAAATTGGGACTAGCAGGTGGTGTAATGGTTAGGGGCACTGGATTCCCATATGGCTGACAGTGGTTTGAGTCCTGGACCTGGAGGCTTGCTTTCTCACTTTCACTCTCTCTCTCTCTCTCACTCACTCACTCACTTTGTCCCTCTCTGGTATGTATGTATGTATGTACGTACGTATGTACATATGAATAAATAAAGTTAAATAAAATAATTCTTTAAAAAATTATTTAAATCTTTAAAATTGATTTCAAGTTAGTATTACTGTGAAATCTTTGGGAAGCAAAAAATTCTGCAGTGCTAACCATTAGTTAGACCACTAGCTAATAATTATCAAGCTAATATTTAAATTAGGGATAGGGTGGTATTTTAGCAATTACATATTAAATTACAGGTCCATAACTAAAACTATATAAAAATAAACATTAGAGAGAAGTATGGCTAGATCTTAATTCATGTGAAAAAGGTTTTGTTTGAAACATTTGCTTTTCCCTGCTAGAAAAGCCCTCGCCATACCTGGTGTGCTGCTCTGGACGATTTAGAAAACTGTTTCTCCAAGATGTTTTTCAGTTCTACTGGTAAAGTCAAATGTGAGCTAGAACTAAAAGAGAAGCATTTGTTTTGAATCATTTAAAAATAGAACAACAGTACATATGTAACAAAAAAATATATTCACTAACAGTCAATTAAAATACTGAGGAAATGGAGAATCATACACATTTCTGAATACAAATATTATCAAGGTATCAATTCTCCTCAAATTAATCTCTGAATCAATTAATGAAAGTCCCTATGAAATTAGAGGTAGAAGGACACCAGATGTACTGATTATAAAGATGATATGGAAGAAGAACCTAAGCATTACAAAAAAGGTTATCAATTTCATGGGAAAATCTAGTAAAATACAACTACTTCAGAAAGTAAGGAGGATTCAGGCATTCCTTGTGGTATTTCTCTGATATCATTTCTAACACCAAATGGTGTTTGTTTTTTTTTTTTTCCCCTATACCAAATACTTGTCATGTTTCCATATCAAATCACACTATAACATCAACTTAAGTCTAATGATTTAGTACTAACACCACCTCCTGGAATTAGCACAGACCCACAGCTGCCCCCATGTCAGACACAGTCACAAGTAGGGGCCCAGGTTACCCCCACTTCTGCTCTGCCTAGTATAAGCTTGGGGGTTCCCATGACTCCCCCACTCAGGTTAGAAAAATCACTAGAACACACAGGACTCAGGAAAGCACTTTACTTACTATTATCAATTTATTATTAAGGATATAATTCAGGCAGAAAAGCAAAAGACCCAAGTGCACAGTAGGGTTGCAGAGTGCAGTACCACCCTCACAGTCAGTCCATGTGTTCACGAACCAGAGAGCTCCCGAAACCCTCTTCTGTTAGGGGTTTGATGGAGATATCATGATGCATGTAAGTATGATTGATTAAATCACTGGCCACTGGTGATTGAATTCAATATTCTGGTTCACATTCCTCCTTGGAGGTTGGGTATGGGTCTAAGTCCCAACCCTCTAATCACACGCATGGATTTTCTGGTGGTCAAACCCTATCCTGAAGCTATCCAGGTGAACTGCTTTAAGTCAATTAATTGGCATAAACTCAGGCAGACTTACAGAAAGGAGATCATTATGAATACTAAAAGATATTCCTACCATTTGAGAAATTCTACAGGTTTCAAGAGCTTTGTGCCAGGAACTGGGACAAAGATCCAATACATACATTATCATAGCACATCTTCTCATTGTGAATGGTGTCCGTTTTCTGGGAGGACAATTTGGCAATATCCATTAAATTACATTATCCCCTATTGACATAGCAACTCCACTCTATAAAATTATTCTTCAACTATACATTAACAATGGCATGAAGGTGCAAGTACAAAGATGTTTACCAGGGTGCTGTCTTATTTATCCCTCTCAAAGGAAAGAAAGAAGAAAGGAAGAGAGATGCAGAGGAAAGAAATGGAATGAGGAAGGAAAAGAACAACAAGCCCAAATACATACATAACAATGGGGACTGCATCTATACTGTGAGATATACTGCAACCATAAAAATGAAGAAAGTAGGTGTCAGAAGTGGCACAGTGGAAATAAAACATTCCGTGAGGCTGACCCCATAGGATGGTGTTAGGTTTATATCCAGAGACCTCCCTGAACACACTGGGTGCAAGCGTGCCCATGATCATGGCTGGCTAAGCCGTGGGGTGGAACACGGGGTGACAATCCTATTGGGGGCTCCTGTCTCTCTGTCTCATCTTTCTCACTCAGAAAAATAAAAGAAAACAAGAAAGAAAATGAAGGAAGTAGTTCTCTATAGTCTGATATAGGGAGCTAAATAAGATATTTTCTAAGAGATAAAAAAAGCAAACTATAGGCCAGAATGGTTCTAGTAACCTTGAAAATTACGGTAGTAAAAATGATCGTCGAATATTTAAAACATTTACTATGTTCTAGGGCTCTAAGTGTTTTATGTGGCTATCCCATGTAATGATGAAATGACCCCATGAGGTAGATATTATCAAATAAAGAGTGTTCAGTTTGGAGAGAAATATCAGGAAAGTAAACTTATCTTTAACAAAACAATATTAAAGTTACAAAACATATTCTAAACATAATTATGCATCAAGTTCTGGTTTCTTTTGGGATGTGGCAAGGAGACAAAATCTGGATTTTTAAATTTTACAATCAAATAATAGAATAACATTATGTATGAACCAGCCTCGTGGCTTAGTGCTTAAGGGAGCCAGATCGCCTATGGCTGACTGTGGACTGAGACCATGCCCTGACAACTTGAAAAACATACTGGACATATATGCACAAACATGCCTCAAATCCCGAAAAGATGGAGAAATGAAGAAGAGATTGCAATGTGACCATATCCCCTTGCAGGGTGCTTCTCCCCAACCCTTCCCCCCCCTGCCCACCCTGTGGCTGCACAGGTCCTCTGAAATTAAAAAAAAAGAGAACATACTATGCCCTAGCTTTGTATCTAATTTTTGTAGTAGGATCAAAAATATGGTCATTTTTTTTTTAATTAGGGCTTTCCTAATTTCCTTTAGTGCTTTGATATTCCAATCATTCTGTGAAGCACTTATCATGGATTCAGTCCTAAGAAATGAAGGAAAAACTGACAACTCATCTAACTACGGCAGATGTGGCCTTGCTGTTTTCCAGCATCACATTCACTCGCTCCATTAACCTCTGCATTGTAAAATCTACAATTTCACTTCGCTGCCCATTTACATCTTTGCAGGGAATGAGGAATTAACCATAAAGATGGATGTCAAGAGTTCTTACTGCTAATTTTTATGGTATGTCTGGTAGAATTAATCTTATAAGTGGTCAGTTCACTAGGATAAAGTTTCCTTTAATGATAATTACTCAAAGGTATACATGAATATACATATACCCATGCCTGAGTATGCAGAGGTTTCCCCAGAGCCAAGAAACTGTTAAAAGTGAGTTCCTAGAGAAAGCCCTATAGAAAGGATGATGGGACAGGTAAAATGAAGTGAGCAGGGGAAGAGCCTTAATTTTCACCTTTTGCCTTTTTCCACTTATGAGCACATGTTTTAAAACTGAAAAAGATTATGAATATATTTCATGTTATATGACTCTAAGATAGCAGTATCAATATCCAGGATTAATAAGCCTTTACACCAAAATAATCTTGTCCTAAAGACATGGCTTTGATATTTGAAGGGGATTTCAGTATCTACAATAATACACATACATAGAGGCAGCTGATGTGTAAAAAAGAGATTTTCTTTTCTCCTTTTTCTTGAAAAGACTACTTTAGGGAAAAAACAAAAAACAAAAAAACAAAAGCAAAAACCACACACACACACCTTAGGGGAAAAACATACCTGAACTTCTCTGATTCATTATTTCGGGATTTTTGTTTTCCTTTATGTTTTGGAGGCTGACCTATGAATACAAAAGTAATTGTTACTGAAATCTGTACATAAAAATCTTCATATCCTAGAGTAAAACATAAAAATATGAAATTGGAATTACAAGCAAAAAATACATTATGTATAAACGTAACTACAAACAGGTAAACCAAGAGAAGCTACTGATGTCATTTTATGTATGGTGCAAAATTACATTATTATTATTATGAATATTTTTAAGACAGGGTCTCATAATTTTGCCATCCTCTACCTGAGACTACAGCATGTGTCACCACACCTGGCTTTTTGTTGTTGTTGTTAGGTTTTCGCTATAGGGTGCATGTCCTTGCCAGAGAGAGACAAAAAGAAAGAAAGTGAGAAATCACCCTCCAGGGTGATGACAAGACTGTAATCCCTTTTCTTCCACTCTCCTCTTGGGGTTTTGGGCATGTGTCTGGCATGACTGTCAAGCTGTCAGGTCTAGGACTTGAACTGTGTGTGAATCCAGTGCCCCCTTTTTATTTAAGAGGTTTCTGCTATTTAAGAAGTTTCTGTCTCCTCTCTGGTAAAGGCATGTGTATTTACCAGAGAGGTGACAGAGACAATGAGAAAGTAAGAAATCACCTCACCCCGGGGTGGAGGGAGGAGTGGCACACTGCAATCCCTTCTCCTCCTGGGATCTTGAGCGTGTATACACACACGCGCGCATGTGCACCTGGTATGATTTTTATTTATTTTTTTGAGAGTTTTTTGCTATAGGTGCACACGCTTGCCAGAAAGACAGACAGAGACAGAAAGCGAGAAATCACCCCCCAGAGGGGATGGCCACACCGCAACCCCTTCTCCTCCATTCTCCTCTCGGGATCTTGGGCATGCATGCACACGCGCCCAGTGTGAGTTTAAGCCACCGGGTTCAGGACTTGAACCGCGGTTGACCACATGGGAGTCCAGCGACATAGCCATTACGCTAACTGCTGGTCTCCTTGGTATGATTTTTAAATCACTGGGTGCAGGACTTGAACCGTGGTCAGCCACAAGGGAATCCAATGACACAACTACTATGCCATTGGCTGACCCCCACACACCTGGCTTTTTTTAGACAGGACCTCAATGTGTAGCCTAGGTCAGCTTTGAGCTTGTGATGTTCCTGCTTTGGCTTCCCAAGATGCTGGAAAATACAGACATACACCTCTAGTTGCCTGGCATGTAGGCTGGACCAGGAATTGAAGCTGGGCCCCTACCTAGTCTCAGCCTGCAAAGCACATGTCTTTGTAGCACATACCACCATGGCTAGACTTGGTGTAAAATTACTATAAAGATAAATTATAATTATGACAAGTATGATTATTTAGCTCTATAGTAGATATGGAGAGAGGGAAGTAATAATTCCTGTTTTCAAGTAGTTAACAATAAGATGGGAAGAAAAACATTAATATTTCAGTAATAAAACAACTTCACCATTACATAGAAAAGATATGTTTTTACTGACATATGAATTCCTCAGTCAGTAACTTCTCTCAAAATTCACAGAGGGCAGAAGTCAGTTAACTGGGAGAGGTTGGGCAAAGCATCAGCGAGGATACAGCATGTGTCTGTTTTGGAAGAACAGTGGGATTTGGATAGAATGGCCCAAACCCAAGAGTGGAGTTCATTTCAGAAATAATGAAAGTGGTATGATCCAAAGACCTCAGTAGGGTGGAAGATTGGAAATGGGCCTCAAAGACAGCCTGGGTGAGGGCTTACAAACTTTTTTCTTCAGTTCCTCCATCTCTGTGAGCTCAGCTTTAGAGTTTTGTGGGCAGGAAAGTGATGCTGTTCAGAATTACTTTGGCAGTAGGGATAAGGTGTACGAAAGCGAGGACTTCAAAAAGTCCATGAAAAATAGAATTAAAGTACAGGTTTACTTTGATACTAAAAAATGTTGGGTTTTACCATAGGGCGGGCGCCACCACGCCCAAAAATGTCGGGTTTTACAATGATGGTTTCTTACAATACATTTTTCCCATCAACTTGAAGAATCATCACGGTTGATGAAAGGTTTGGGAGAGGGCAGAGAGACCAAGTCAGAGCCAGTATAATTAGGTGGGAATGAGAGCTTGAGCCAGTGTGGCCTCAGGGAACTCAGGAGGACGCGGTATGGCAGGCGAGTTCTAGTCTGATCTCTGTCGTTTGGGCAGTACTACTTCACTGTAAATGCGGAACCTAATTTCTTCACCTGACCATAAATGCCAAAGGGCGAACAGTATTTAACTTATAATGGGCCTCAAAGACAGCCTGGGCGAGGGCTTACAAACTTTTTTCTTCAGTTCCTCCATCTCTGTGAGCTCAGCTTTAGAGTTTTGTGGGCAGGAAAGTGATGCTGTTCAGAATTACTTTGGCAGTAGGGATAAGGTGTACGAAAGCGAGGACTTCAAAAAGTCCATGAAAAATAGAATTAAAGTACAGGTTTACTTTGATACTAAAAAATGTTGGGTTTTACCATAGGGCGGGCGCCACCACGCCCAAAAATGTCGGGTTTTACAATGATGGTTTCTTACAATACATTTTTCCCATCAACTTGAAGAATCATCACGGTTGATGAAAGGTTTGGGAGAGGGCAGAGAGACCAAGTCAGAGCCAGTATAATTAGGTGGGAATGAGAGCTTGAGCCAGTGTGGCCTCAGGGAACTCAGGAGGACGCGGTATGGCAGGCGAGTTCTAGTCTGATCTCTGTCGTTTGGGCAGTACTACTTCACTGTAAATGCGGAACCTAATTTCTTCACCTGACCATAAATGCCAAAGGGCGAACAGTATTTAACTTATTTAAATGTGCTGTCTGATAATAATGGGCTACAAAATATTAATAAGTTAAGAGCTGCCTTAAAAAATGTTTGACTTCAAATATGTTCCATGTGCTGGTGGAGTAACATACAGTAAGAAAATTGCCTGACTCTCCTCCTCTGTAATTATGCTGATGTGCTAATAACCGAACAGAATGCCCAGTCCTAAGTGGTTGGACATACAGAATTGGAACCTGAAAGAGTAAGAAACTGCAGGTAGCAATGGACAGAGATGGCTAAGATACAAAGCCACTGAAAAGAAAATGAACAGACCAAAAACCAAAAAAGGAAAAGAGAGCAGTAGGATCACTAACCATAAGATCAACCACCTCACAACCCTGGCAAAAACATGACATGAAAGCTTGAACCAAGTTAACTATTGTGTGTAATAATAACCTTGAGCCAGCAAGACACTCTGCATTTTGTTAAACTCTATCTTAAAAGGCAGGGAAACACACAATCCACTTTAAAAATATTTTTTATCAAAATCTTGTAGTCTACATGGACTTCAATGAAAATGAAATGATTTACTTCTCCAGTACCATCATCTCCCAGTGATGTCAGATAATGAGGTCCTGACATGAGTCTGTTTACTATTTGCATAAACAAACATCTGTACTGGTAATGAGATTTAGTCTAAGGCACTGTCAGGGTCTGAATGTCTGTAAACTTCCCCCACTCTCCATCCCCTGTCAATAACTGATTCATGTATTGAAATTCTAGCCTCCCATGTGATGGTATCAGGAGGTGAGACCTTTGAGGAAGTGATTATGTTATGAGGCAGGGCCCTCATGAATGAGAAGAACCCAGAGAGCTCTCTCATTTCTCCAACCATGTGAAGACATTATGGGAAGACGGCCATCAATGAACCAAGAGGAGGGATCTCATCTGCTGGTACTGTAACCGTTGACTTCCCAGCCTCCAAAATGTGAGAAACAAGATAAGCATCCATTCTCAACAGGGAGTCATATCACCCCCAAAAGGACAAAAATTAGTTCTTGGGAGATGAAAAAAATGAACTTTTTTATATATAAAGCACAGATGTACATATAGTACATAAACAAATAAACAATATTTATGTATTTAATTTCATAGGGAAGACCACCTTGGGGGGGTAGTTTTTAAAAAAGCTCTTTGGCGGTGTGGAGAGGGGAAGCAATAGTGCAAACTTTCAAGAATGAGAGACATGGCTTAGAGGCAGTTAAAGAGCAGATCAAGAAGAGGTATGTACTTCATCTTTCCATTCCTTTTATTTAGGTTTCCCAAATTATGAAAATATCAGGGACCAGCAGATGGTATAGCAGTTATGTCACTAGACTTCCCACATGGCTGACCACTGCTCGAGTCCCAGTCCCAGTGGTTCAAACTCAGGCCAGACACATGTGCATGTATGCCAAGATCCTGGGAGAAGAATGGAAGAGAAAGGGCTGTGGCATGGCCATCCCCCCAGGAGCTGATTTCTCGCTTTCTGTCTCTCAGTCTCTGTCTCTCGGGTGGACACATGTACTCTATGGCAAAAATCTCTCCAAAAAAAAAAGAAAGAGAAGACTGAACACTGATTTGAAATAATTATTCAATGTTTCTTTAATTAACATAGAAGTACTATAAAGTAAAGGAGAATAATAGCAAATATAAGTGATGCTTGTTAAATTTTAGGGCATTAAAGTTTAGGCAATACTACATTAACTCAGCAACAATTTATATAAGAAAACAAATACTCACTAGATGGTGATGGAAATTCAGGATGACAGTCACAATCATCTACCTTAAAAGCCTTATCTTCCACCTGAGCATAAAAATAAAATTAGTGAGACTTTCAAGGAAAATATAATCCCAAAGAATTCAATAGTGATAAACTAGAGTAGAACTTAGAACAGAATAGGATAAAAATCACTGAAGCATTTCAAATGTACAGCTGATTCGTAAGCCTAAATATAAAAAAAGCAAACAAAATAATGACTAATGACAAGAAATCATTATCTAATGACAATTTTTCTTTTTTTTGGAGAGGTTTTTGCTATAGAGCGCGTGCTCTGTCCAGAAAGACAGAGAGGGGCAGAGGGACAGAAAGCGAGAAATCACCCCCCAGGGGGAATGGCCACACCATAATCCCTTCTCTATTCTCCTCTCGGGATCTTGGGTGCACGCACACACACGCACCCTGGCGTGAGTTTAAGCCACCAGGTCCGAGACTCAAACCGCAGTGAACTACATGGGAGTCCAGCAACATAGCCATTACGCTAACTGCTGGTCCCATAATGACAAATTTTTGAATGATGCTTCTATTTCTGATGCTGAGCATGATGCCTAAAATGGCTGTGTACAAAA